GGAGACTGTACACCTGGTACGTTCCCCGGTCCTCGATTTTGGAAATTCATTTAGTTCGCAAGTACCGACCCAGGTGTCGGGTTTTCCAAGTCTTTTGTAAAACCCAAGTTTTACCCATGGTTGGATATTTTATATTTTTAGGGGGGGTGTTCCTGATGCGCGTACCCGAAGGCCCGTACATCGAAACACAACAGTTAACAAAGGAGGTTTAAGTGTTCAATAATTCAAGGAGGGTAATTGCAGCAATTAGGATTGGGGGCCGGCAGGCTATCTCGCAAGCCGCGGCCGAATTACTTGTGTAAATCCTATTCATGCAATATTTGCGGAAAAGAAATACTTAGATTTAAATTATAGGTGCAAGATGATCAAAGGTGACTTGCCTTGCTCGAGATCTTGAGCTTGATCCTCGAAATCCTTGCACTGCGGGTCTTCGGGCTCCAAAACTACACGCGAAACGGGACAACTCAACAAACGGCGAAAATAAAGCCCTATTATTGACCTCTAGGCATGCCATTAGATAGATCTCGAGATTTGAGGAGTTTTGGAAGTTGAACGGAGTCAAACGGACTTACGGTTGGGAAGATATTGAATTTCTAAGATTATTGGATTTTTGGTCTAAAGGAAAAGGATTTATTTAAATCCTTTTTGAAATAGAAAAGAAAAGAAAAGAAGGAGGGAGGGAAATTAGACTTTCCTCGGGCGGCTAGGGCGCGGCCCGAGAGAAAGGGGCGGCTCGGCCGAACCTAACGGGCCGGCCGGCCCGAGAAGGCGGCCTAAGGCACGCGCGCGGGCGGGAGGAGAGAGGAAGCCGATGGGCCGGGTCCACCTTGCGTGGTCCCGGGTGGGACCCAATTGTCGGCGGCTCGGCTCACCGTGAGCGAGGTGCACGCGGGGCGTGCTAGGGTTTGGGGAGGGGAGGCGCGGCGCATGCGCGCGGTTCGCGGAGGACGCGGATGCAGCGGGCCCACGCGCAGCCTCACGGCTCACGGTGGACCGCGCGCTCGGGCAGGGCCGGAGGGAGCGGCGGACCGGGGTCAGCTTGACCCGGTCGCGGCCGAGGTGGTGCCGACGTGGCGCCTACGTGGCTGCCACGCGGGCCGGCGGGAGGTAGACGACGACGTCGGCCGGAACGGACGGCTGACGGCGGCGGCGAGCGGTAGAGCGAACCACGACGATACAGGCGAAAGCGAGCACACCGGGAGGTTGCACGGGACGAGGGGAGACGAGCCAATGGCTCGGATTCGCCGGGGGATGCTCGACGGCGGCAGATTGCGGCGGCGGCAACCGGCGGCGAGAGAAGGGGGAAACGGCGACGGTGCGACGGGAGACCGATTCGGGCGAGCTAGAGCATCTACGCGACTCCGGGAATCCGTTGCTAGCGTCGGATTGGGCGGAGCTACGCCGAGCGAGGCCAGCGACGAGCGGACGCTACGGAGCACGGGCGGCGACGGCGGCGAGCACACAGCGAGAGGCTGCAACGGTCGGGGCGGCGCCAGCTAGCTACGGGGAGGCTACTCGTGCTACTACCCGAGTCTAAGGGGAGGAGATGGAATGAGGAGGGAGAACGGAGGGAGGCACTACCGTGCGGGGTGATGGAGCGCAGTGACGAGGGGCCGACGGCACGGGAGTGATCTCTCCGGCCTCGGGCCGGGGAAGAGAAAGAAGACGAGTGCTCGGAGTCCCCTTCCGCGTCCTAGCGCGCACCGGCTCCTCCAGCACACGCGACGGCGGCGGTCGGTGAGAGAGACAGAGGGACGGCAATGGCGCGGGCGAAAAACGGGGAAGATTGGGAGGGAAAAAGAAAGGGAGGGCGCCTGGGTTTATAGGGCGGCAATGTCGGTTTGGAAACCGACCTTGGGCGGTCAAGGCGCGAGCTGGCGCTCGGCGCTCGCGGCCAAAACGGCGACAGAGGCGGATGACGCTGGCGGGGAAGAGAAAAGGAAAAAGGAAGGGAGAAAGGGGGGGCTTGCCCCTTGCCTCTTTGGGAAAAGAAGGAGGGAGAGAGGGCGATGAGGAGGAGCCCTGCCTCCTTTCCTTGGAAGCACGCGCGGGGAGAGGAGGGGCCGAGTCGATGACGACGGCGATGACGGCGGGGCGGTTTGGAACGGAGCGGCGACACGGACGGCAGGCGCGGACAGGCGCGGCAGAGGCTGACGGCGGCGGCGACCAGGTGGTCGGCCACCACGGCGTGCGCGCGCGGGAAGCAACGGGCGGCGCGGCGATTTGGGCGGCGTCGGCGGGAAGCGGCAGTGAGGGCGGAGGGCGCTCGGCTCGGCTCGGCGCGGCTCACGCGCACGCGCGCGCAGCGCACGAGCAGAGCGGGGGAGAGAGAGAGAGATGGGGAGGGAGGGAGAGATAGGCCGAGAGGAATTCGGCCCATCGAACCCGAGGGAGGCAAAATAGACTTTTGCGGAGGGATTTGATTTGGGAAGGATTTGGATTCGGGATTGAACTTGACGATAGATCGGGGATTTGAGATCTGAGATGGCACGGACACTAGACAACAAGCAAAGAAACAGATTTCGTAATTAGGGTTTTTAAGAGATAGTTTTCCCGCTAGGCGCCACGACGGAACGGGCGCTACACGCCTCCCGCTCCCCGTCAATGCCGAGCAACCCCCGGTGCCCCCGCCGCTGGGTTTCCTTGTGGGGAGAGAGCTCCCCGCCGTTGCCGTCCTTGCGGCCGACCGGCTTTGCCAGCGAGCCGCTCGGGCGGCAGCGAGGTGGGAAGGGGGCGGCGGAGGAGAGTTTTTCGCCGTCCGGGTCGCCCCCGGGACGGGAGCAACGCAGACGGGAGGACAATGCAAGGCCCGAATCCGATTTTTGTCCTTCAACCGCAAAACCAGATAGAACTGGTCCCTGTCAAAACCAGTACAGATGAGGTCCTCTGGCGGTTTGGATGGCGGTTTTGACTGACGTGGCGCCTACGTGGCTAATTTGACTTTGTCTCCATCTGATGTGGCGCTTACGTGGCAATTTGATATGTGAAAATAATAAACCTCGTGGGACCCACATGTCAGTTTCACTCACAAATTAATAAAAAAAAATTGTGGGGCCCATATGGCCCCCACATATCATTCTCAGCCTGCTCTTCTTCCTCCTCTCTCCCCTCTCTTCGTCTGTTCATCTCTCTCCCCTCTCCTCTCTCGCGATGGAGAGGCCGCGGCGCGTGGCGGGCGGCGGGAGAGGACAGAGGAGGGAGCGGCGCGCCGCGGCGTAGGCACGGCTCCGGTGGCTGTGGGCGGAAGAGGAAGGGACGGCGAGAGAGGTGGCCCTAGTCGTCGCTAACGCCTCCACCTCCGAATCCCTCGCGGCGCTCGATGCCCGCGAGGCCGCCGTCCCCGGCACCCCGCGCGCCTTGCCGAGGTCGAGGCGGCACTGTCCGCGGCCGTCGCGGAGTCCTCGCCCGCCGACGTTCGGGGTTCACGCTGGTGGATGTGCGGCCGCATGGATGCCGCCGCGCTCTGGTGGATGTGCTTCATGGCGGCGCTTTTCTGTCCATCCGGTGGTCCGGCCACTATGCCGGGCAACGGCACCACTGCAGTTTACCACATGAACCTGAACGCCACTGCAGCGAAGTCCTCCATGCGACACTCCGGTTGCACTTGAGTTCCGTCGCTGAGCCCCTAGTAACCTAGCACTATCGCTTCAAGTTCAGAAATTGAAGAACCGAGCCTTGATTTCTTTTCATGAATCACGACAAAAAAAATTTGATTGTGTTTGCTTATGATATTACTGTGTTAAAAAAATATAATGAACATTCCAGTTTTGGATCCTGGCATCCTGCGAGGTCTCGAGATTGTTGAGATGGTCATCAATCAGTTTCATCTATATACAGCAAGCGATTCTGAAAGTTTAACGACAGCACACGAAACCACCACTGCAACGTTCGGCTTGGCGGCGGCGATGCAACCGTCTAGCACCGAGGCCGGAGGCAACATGAATAGGCAAGAACTAGCAGGATTGCTGGTGATGCACTGATGCTCCTCCGTGGGTTGGGCTCTCGTGTGCCCAGCCAACGCACTGGCAACTGCCTTGCTGGCCACGGAGGTTACCGGTGTGGTCGTTTTCTTGCCGGCCACGGAGGTCGCCGGTGTGGCCGCCTGCTTGCCGACGGCCGAGGTCGATGCCGGAGTGGCTGCGCCCTTGACGGCGTTCGAGGTCGCTGCCGGGGTGGCCGCCTCCTTGCCTTTCTTGGCCGCCACGTGCCACTGTCTCTCCGTCGCCTTGAGAGAGGAGAGGAGAGAGAAGAGAGGGGATATGGGGAGAGTCGGAGAGAGGAGGAAGAAGAGGAGGGATGAGTTGGACTGACATGTGGTGCTCAGGTGGGTCCCACCATTTATTATTATTTTTTTGTGTGAGATTGACATATGGGTCCCACGGGTTTATTATTTTTTCCGTATCGAATTGACACGTAAGCGCCACGTCAATGCTACGTCAGATGAAGACGGAGTCAAATTAGCCACGTAGGCGCCACGTCAGCCAAAACCGCTCTAAAAACCGCCGAGGAACCTAATCTGCACCGGTTTTAATAGTTGAGGGACTCGTTATGTCTGGTTTTTCGGTTGAGCGACGAAAATCAGATTCGTTGACAAGTTAAGGGACCTCGGATGAACTTATTCTACGGAACAACGATGAAGGAATAAGTACACCGAAGGTCCCTCAACTTATTATCGAGTTACAAAATCGTCCCCCAACCACAAAATCAGATACCAGACGTCTCTCAACTAATAAAACCGTTCACTTTAGTTACTTCGGTGGTTTTGATCCCGGTTTTATCCAACGTAGCGGCTAAGTCAGCGTGTGACCCACGTGGGACCTATATGTCAAGGTGGCCAGGTCAACCTCCTCTCTCTCTCTCTTTTCCCCTCTATCTCACTTCCTCATCTCTCTCTCTTCTCAGCAGTGCGAGGAAGGAGCGGCCCGCGGGCGGCGGAGGAAGGAGCGGCGCGCGGGCGGCGGAGGAGCGGCGGGGAAGGGGCGGCGCGCGGGCGGCGGGGGAGGAGCGGCGCGCAGGTACCACACGCTCTTCGGTCGGCCTCCCCGCCTCCTCCCTCTTCGCGTGCGCTCGGTGGCGTCGGTGATGTTGCCGGAACTCCTCCCCGCCTCGCCTCCGGCTTCTCCTCCGCCGCCGCTTCGAGTTCATGGGACACTAGAGAGAGGAGCACGAGCCCCCTAGCCCCGCCGCGGATGGTGCTCGCGGAGGCGGCGCTGCGGCCGTGGCCGGCGGCGGAACCACGGGAGCTGAGGGTGGAGATGGTGGCTCTCTTCTTCGAAGCCATGGAGTCTCTTCTCAAGTGATACAAAATTGAAGGATCATTGTTCCTTCCAAATTGATTAGTTGATGAGCTATCGTAGATATGGATGCGGCGTTGTTTCACAGGAGCTGGTGTGAATTGTATCTGTTGTTCTTTGTATTAGATTACTGTATTTAAACTGCTAGTTTCCTGGTTTCAAAGTTTTTTCACGACGAACACTCGACATGGCCATTTTGTTGAACCTGAACATGGTCAATATTCGAAATGAACAAGGTTTGGAAGCGCTTGACATAGATTTGAATTATTGAACCTGAACAATGCTTGCATATTTGCTTACAACCAAATGAAATTCATACAACCAACTCAACTATAGGAGATCTGATGAAATCAGCTCTCGCAATACAATAGATTGACACAGCCTACCAAAGACCGAAAAAATTTGGGACAGTAACATACAAAACCAAAACTAGTTGGCGTAGCATCGCTCGTGCCTCATCCCGACGGTGAATCGATCGGCGTCAGAATCCCGTGCGCATCCGGCGAACCATGCCGCCGTGTCGCAGCGTGTTCTGGCAGTTCTGCTGCTGCTGCGGCGGCGGCGGCGGCTGGCGCACGGACTGCAGCGCCTGGTCGAGCATCGCGGCGAGCGACTCCGGCGACACGGGCGTGGCGCCGTCCAGCGCCCGCTGGTAGGCCTCATCGCGCTCCTGGGCCCGCTTCTCCTCCGCCGCCGCCTCATCGGCCTCGTCCCCTCCCTCCTCGCGGCGCACCCGTCCGTCTCGCGCGACGCCGCCAGCCCGCCACGGAGGGCATCCACGCAAGGCCGTGTGCATCACCAGCGGATCCCCTGCAGCGGCGGCGGCCGGTTGAAGAGGTGCCCCTTGGGCCGCCCTGCGCCGTCGCCTCCGCCCCCGGTCTGCGAGCCGCCTCCTTCTCCAACGTCACCACCGGCCGGCCACGGCCGCAGCGCCGCCTCCGCAGCAGCAGCAGAAGGGAAAGAGAGAGAGAGAGAGGAGGAGGAAGGGAGAGAAGTGGGGAAAGAGAGAACTGCTGACGTGGACACCCTGACATGTGGGGCCCACATGTGTCCTACGCCAAATTCAGCCGCCACATCGGACAAAAACCGGAGTCAAAAACACCAAAGAACGTGAAGTGAACGGTTTTATAAGTTGAGGGATGTCATGTATCTAGTTTTGTGGTTGGGGGATGATTTTGTAACTCAATGACTAGTTGAGGGACCTTGGGTGTACTTTTTCCCAACGATGAAACAACACCATCCCGGCCCAGTCTGGCCTACCAACGTCCGTTTGACGATGACGCTGGCTGAGAACAACTGAGGTTGCCGACGACTCCGTCTCGGGACGACCGCGAGATCGCCTGGACGATCATCTAATAGAAAACAAAAGGGAATGTTCGATCAGCAAGAAAAATCAAAGAAACTTGAAAGGGCACTGCAGAAGGACTTGCCAGCATCATCATCTATGATCTGCAATTCTTGACAGCACTCGTCTGACTGGTTCGATGAGTTTGATTTCTCCGTCGAGTTACATGTCTATCCGGGAGAGCGGCAGGCGCCGGCAGCGCCGAATCACAACCTGGAGTCGGAGCAGCCATTGAGCGAGCGGAATGCCGATTGGTGGGATACGCGGGCCGCCTCCGTGGCCGGCCGACTGGGAACATTGGCTGAGCAGATCCAGCCACCGACGATTAGAGCAAGTAAGTTACGTGAATCCTTCAGTTTTGTGATCAGCTGCGAATAGTACGGGATGATTCATAATTACGAGAATTTCTTTTCTAGCCACAGAATCAGAACGGGCTGGATAGTGGGAATGGATCGATTGGTGCTCGTTTTGATTGACGGTGGATGAGAGCAGGAGTACATACTCCCTAGCAGTATATATATATGGATTTTCATACAGCAGAAATAATTAAGAGGGGCAGCCTAAACACCAGCTTATCACAACACCTTTTAAAATAATTAATTTCCATACAGAATGGCCTAAAACCGTAAAGATCCCCTACCATCCTCCAGATATAACATATTGTTCATAGAAAAATGCACCAAGAGTTAAGCCCCCAACAACTAGGAGTGCTACTACTTCCTTCAAACACCAACAGACTCAACGGCTCATGTAGCAGAAACATTCTGAGTGTGTATGCATCCATCCCTGATCAACAATGATCACATCCAAACTGTTCATACAGCAAAAACATAGCAAGCATCCATCCTCGTAGCACAAAAGAGTTAGTGCACACATCCACATACCGAGGCGGCTTCACAGGTTCTCTAGTTCCTCTCACTGTTTCACGAGTCGTGACTTGCATCATGGTGATCTTCACATTATGCAGATTCTTAATCTTAGGCAGGCCATAGCAGGGGTATCCATGAGCAAGGCAGAACACAATGCCGCTAGAACTCTTGCCCTCGCTAACTGAAGTAAAGCAAATCGTGTTCTTGTCCCTGATAAGCTTACTCCATGTCCTCAAGAAAACAGGAACATCAAGGTAGTATGAACCATTATTCTTGATCAATTCAAAAGCAAGAATACCTCCTGTAAATAGCGTGTATATGAAGCCACCAATGTATATAGACCTTCCCAATAACGTGCCACGACGATACGATTGGAATGACTTCACAATAGTCCATTCCAAACTATCCAAGTCAAGCAAGAAGCAGTCAAAACTCCCAGCATCTGATACCATAAAACATCTCTTAAGCACAACAAACCCAGATATATTAATTTTCTCAGTCAGATCTGCATCTCTTGAAGTTGTCTTGCAATGAGTCCATACTGAACTGCCGCGTTTTAGTAAATACACAGACTGCAGGGTATCAGTTAAACCAACCAACTGATTGCCAACTGGAAAAACTGCTGAAAAACACACCTTAGGCCGATCTGTCTTAAAGGGACGATTAAACTTCCCCCGCAGATAAATCACTTGCATCTGACTCTCTGGTAATGATGGAATGCAATATAGTCGCTTTCTTCCCATATATATATAGCGCCATGTAGGAGAAGAAGAAGAACCATATAGAGCATCCTCAGATACAAATGTTTCTGCACAGCATGTTGGCTCCAGCATTTTATCACGGCATACCAACTTCCCATTTGAAATACTGATTTGATATGTTAGCGATTGACAACCGGACTGAGATATGAAGAATAGATTCATCTTGGTTTTCGTTGTACATTTCTCAAGTACAACATCATCTTCGTTCCATTGATCTTCCAAGAACATCCTGTATAGATTATTTAGAACCAAAAATATTACTTCCAACATTACTTATCTAAAAATCATTTATCAGATCAGTAATACCATAACGTACACAGATTGTCATTTAGCATAAAAAAAGTTACATGATGGATGACAGTCTATATAATTACATAAAGCATAGCTATAGTTCTATAGCAAAGAAATAACCATATTAAAAGAAGAGTAATATTACACACTTGAAAGATAAACCACAAGAGTTGGTGGTAACATGTAGTAACATCAAAATGGGAGGAAACCAGTAAAGGTAGCTTCTGCTTGGACAAACCGTTTGCAGTGCAAATTCAAATAAAATTAGTGGCTGAGGGCACACAATAGGTACAAGTTGAATAAAATGGTTGTTGAGGGTCTACCCAACAATGCCAGTCATCAGTCATTATCACACTATTTCAGTCCTATTCAATTGCATCATGTTGAGCCAGCAGCAAACCCAGGAAGGTTCCACTACTGCTCTGTTCCTAGACATGTTTGCCTGGTCAATCCAAATAACAAACAGAATTCGAAGCGCAGGAGAATACCTGCAGCACTCCAGCATGTTGGGTGAGTCTTCAATCTCTGAATATGTAGCCTCTCCTAGTACCGGAGGTATTGAGAATGGTTCCACTCGATCAACATCCTCCACATACGACCTGTTTCACAATGGAATATTTAGAGAGCAATACTGCAAATCAATCACAGTAACAACTACTGTTTACCAAATCCATCAATTGAACAAGTAATTCTTAATGCATGTAAAGAAACACATGGTAGTAGGTTACTCACAGTGAGAAACAAAAAATATTGCAGCGGGATGTTGTCTCACGGCCATCGCCAACAACTAGACTGCGGCAGGTAGAATGCAAGACTCCCACATCTTTTGGAACGAAGCCACCATTAATGCAGTCACCATTGATGATAAGTGTTGTGATCATCACGTGCTGTGTGGTGCAGGTGCATATGGAGCGCGTGCTGATCCAGACAACACACATCACCTGGCCAGCCAAGTGCACAAGAGAGCCATACCCATTGGTGCCGAAGGGACACATAACATCTAACCTGATTGGAGGCTCGATGGTGTTCTTCCCCGGCGAGAATTTGTATGCGAAGAGAGTATCGAAACGAAGGAAGTATACTGCGTTGTGATCCTCCACGTATACTGACCTGTTAGACAGGGGAATGTAATTGAGCTTCTTATGCGTGAGGGAGAGTGGCGTCCAGACGCAATGGGTGCAGTCGAAGACGAAGAAGGCTGCGTCCGCCAAGGAGACGAGGATCTTGTCGTTGCCGATGACGGCACGGCCTTGGAATATGCTGCCATAGAGGCTCTCGCTGCGCTCGAAGCCGGTGTGCAGGAACTCGTGGGGCTCACCGGCGAGGACCCATCGCTGCCCTTCCTGCCGCCGCATCAGGAGGCGGGTTGTGCTCCTCTCGTCGAGCCAGGGATACGGCCGCTCGACGGAGAGCACCCAGTTCTCGCCGCCGGCTTGGATGGCGAAGTGGCCCCCGGGCACCAGCACGGTGGGGAGATCGCCGAGCGGGGTCACCGCGCCGCCGCCGCCGCCGCCGCCCAGATCCATGGAGAACGATCTGTAACACTTGTTCAAGTTTGTCTTGTTGCAGGTCCAGCGGCCGTCGGCGTTGAGGGGGACGGCTCGGCAGATGAGGTGCATCTGGTGGCCGCCGTCGTTGCTCAGATAGGCGGAGGCGGTGCTGAAGGCCTCGGCAGCAACATCGTCCGGCGCGACGTGGCGGAAGGTCTCGAGGACGTCGTCGCTGCCGCTTAGGATGCGGCCGGACGCGGCCACGCGGAACCTGTGCAGGCGCAGATTGTGGCGCGGCACGTCGACGGCAGTGAGCCCGACGACCACGGACCACCGGGGCCGGTCGTCCGCGCCGGCGGGGATGGCGAGGTAGTCCGTCCCAGGGGCGATGCGCCGAAACCCCGCATCCTCTTTTCTCCAGCAGCAAAAACACTTGAACAAAATGCACAGATCCTCCCCCATCGCCGCCCGCCGCCGCCCTTAGCCCTCGGGCCCTCTCGCCTTTCAACCTTTCCCGTCCCTCCGCCCCTTAATTTGGGCCTTGCTACTATGCGGCCGGTACCGCGGTCCTACAATATCTGATGAATCGGAATTGGAATCTCAAGATCACTTTGACTCCCTTAATACCGAATCTGATTCGTATGCTTGAGCCTCCAACTATTAAAACCGGTGTAATTTGACTCTCTCGATGGTTCTAGAGGACGGTGTTACTGACATGGCAAGCTAACTTTGTCCATTATACTGACATGTCAGCCTAGTCACCAAAATAAAGATGAGGCCCACATGTAAGTGATAGGAGAAAATATAAAAAACGTGGAGCCCACTTGTCAGCCCTCTTCTCCCTCTCGATATTTTCCAAAAAAAAAAAGAGCAAAGCAAGCGGAGGCGGTGGTGCGGGCGGCAGTGGGGGATTGCGATGGCGATGGCTGTCTGAGGCGCCGCTTCGCCACCATCTCCGATGCGGCCTCGTCGCCCTCCTCCTACTATAAGCTACTCAAGGGCAGGCTCGGGGGCAGCTCTTGGGAGGCACCTTGTCTCCGGCGACGGACCAAGCGAAGACGGAGGAGGTGAAGAAGGGCGTCGGTCGAGGCTGCGACGGGAGCGGGGGTGGTGGTGGGCTCGGGGCGGCTCTTGGTCGGGCACCCCGTCACCAACGGTGATGGATGCGGTAGGCGTAGGCAGCATCGGCCTTTCTTGCGCGGGGCGCCGGTGGCTACTCACTCGAAGAGGAGGGGAAGGGTACGAGCGTAGACAGTGGGAAGAGCCGAAGGGGAAGAGACATGGATGAGGAGCGGCAGAGATGCTGATGGATGCGCCCGTTGACCTTGCCGTCTAAAACATCGTGTGCGTCAGATTTGTACGTGACGGCCGGGGGAGGCATCTCCGGTGCTCATCCGGTGGTGCCGTGCCCCGCCGCCGCCGCTCCGGCCCTTGCCCGTCGGCCGCCACTCCAATTCCGGCCCTCGCCCTACCACCCCGCTCCACCGCCCACCCTCTCGTCAGCTGCCGCCATTTTGGCCCTCGAGGGCTCACCGTCTCCTCTGTGGCCGCCTCCTCCTCCTCCGTCGCCTCCACCCGTGCCAGCTCCAGCCCGAAGTGCCGCCACCACTCCATATCCCGCCCGTCGCCGCCACTCCAGTACCGTCGCAGCTTGCAAAAGTCCAAAGGTGAGAGGAAGAGAAAGAAAGTGAGAAGGGAGAGAGAGGGGAGGAAGAAGAAAGAGAGAGGATGATATGTGAGCCCCACAATTTTTTTAATGAAAAAAGGGCCCCACGTATATGTTTTTAACTCTAATGCTACCTAAGCGTCACATCAACACAACCACGTAGACGCCACGTCAGCGAAACCACCCTCCAAAACCATCGAGGGAGTCAAATTTTACCGGTTTAATAGTTGGGGTGGTCAAGATATCTGGTATTGCGGTTGAAGGATACCAATCAGATTCGGTTACTAGTCATGGGAATCAAAGTGAACTTATTCCTATTATATATTTATTTATTTACTAGAAAAGATGCTCGTGCGTTGCAACGGATAGAATGTGTACATATGTATCGGTGGATAAATCATCACAACCCATTGTTTTGTTTATTCATGTGCTTATCCGCATCACTAATTACTAAATAAAAGACTATTTGTGTGCAAATCTTTTATATACATTTTTTTAGAGACTCAAAAGCAAATGCTATAAAATAAAGTACGATAAAAAAACCAAAAAGTTGAATTCAAAATTAACTTCTAAAACTTAAATTTTGGCTTATAGGAATAAGCATAAGCCAAATAATAAGGCCTTCAAACACGAGCTCGATTCGTCGTCTAGCTTTATCTCAAGTCGGACAGGAATTGATGATAGACGGAATCAACAACTTCGATTATCTTTTATGTCAGCTGGCATGTTCTTCTTGAAAGTAAAAATGATTCTTATGGATTATTGTAACGGTATCCATGGTAGTACATACGAGCATATATGGAGACTGACTTGAAATCATACCTCATGAATCGTGCCGTGTAATATGAATAGAATCGGATGATCTGGGAAACGACGTACGTGATATCCACACAGGCTCAGCAAGTTTCATTCGCTTGGTATCCACATCACACAGGTTCTCTTTCGTAGTCCGCTCGTGAGTCGTAACTTCGCAATGAATGTTACGTGTGACGGGAATCAGATGCGGATGATGTACCATAGTTTCAACAAAAACATCTTCAATTTTTAAATCGCGGACGAGGGCGAGCAGTCCCAATCGGACATGTGGTAAGGGCAAATTGTGCGCGTGAGGGTGTCACGGGCCCAATTGGGCATGCGGAAAATCGTGCACGCGAGGACGTTACGGGCCCAATCGCAACAGCGTGCGAAGATGCGTGTGGAAAACGAACTCAAGCGCAAGCCCGATCGCTGCGTGTGGCAAGGGGTGCGTGAAAAGATGCGGGCCCAATTAATTCGCGTGCGTGTCGGATAAGAGGAACACTATGGCGTAAGAAAAAAAGGAAAGGATTTGACAAAAACATAAAATTACCTATTCAAACACGGATGATGTACCAAAATTCTGGTAGAAACATCTTCAATTTTTATAATAAAAGAGATAGAAATTTATAATTGATAAATTACTAGCAAACGTGCGCTGCTATGGAAAAAGATTCACCAAATCCAACCTATGTTTCACCAAATCACAAAATCCAGAAGGTACGTCGCTGAGAAACCGATGCGAAGAAGAAATTGATGGAAACAGTAAAAAAGAGTTCCTTCAAAAATCAAGGGACAAGAGCCTACAAAGAAAATATGTTGCTCTTTTGATAGAGATAGAGATATATAGTGCATTGGGGGGTGGCGAACAAGTTTCACTTTCGTAAAAAAAACAGGTTTTTTGGATGACGTTTCTTCAATGGAATTGAATTTTTTTAAACGTTGCGCGGAATTGTTTTTCTTTCGCGAACTATTTGTTTTGGACGATGATTGTTTTTCTTTTGAATTGGACTCTTTTTTTACGTTTCGTTGAACGCTTTTTTGTTAGTTTTTGAAAGGATCTTGATGTCACCTAGAGGGAGGGTGAATAGGTGTTCATAAAAATTATCACAACTTCATAGTATATTAGAATGATGAGAACTTTCGGTTCAAATCGGAACTTCCAGTATGGGATTGAAAGTTCCGGTCTCAACCGAAAAGTTCGGTGGATAACAGAATACAACACTAGCTATGAACTTATAGCTCGAATAAACAAAATGTATATGAATCAAAAGGTGACAAATAAGGTATCTAAACAAAATATAAGATCACCAACTAAATCAATTAAGTATGTAAGTAGATCGGGTAAAAACAAGCTTAAGCACAATATGAGAGAATGCACAAATGGGCAAACCAAGAGAGGAGACGCGTGATTTGTTTCCCGAAGTTCGGATCCACGGATCCTACGTCTCTGTTGAGGAGCCACAAGGGCCGGGCCTATTTCAACCCTTTCCTCACGAGGTTGCACAAATGCACTCCTCAGTTTCACTCTTAATTTCTTCCCTTGTGGAGGCAAAATCGAAGCCTTCACAAACTTTCTTGATTTCTTCCCTTGCGGATACGAAATCGAAGGCTTCACAAACTTTTCGTGGCACACCACAACCTTGGGTGCTCACCGGCGACGCCTAGCCGTATAGGAGACCTTAGTCCCCAAGAGTAACAAACAGAATCGAAGATTTGCTTGCTATGAACTCGAGTGCTCAAAGTATGGAGTGAAGCTCACTAGCTCAAAACTTCTCAATCTCTCAATCCAACTTTTTCCCCTTCTCAAATCCCTCTCACAAAGAGGCACCACAAAGTATGGAGTGAAGGTCACTAGCTCTCAACTCCTCACTCTCTCAATCCAACTCTCTCCCGTTCTCAAATCCCCCTCACAAAGAGGTACCACAAAGGTAGGAAAATGGGGATGGCTATTTGGCTTTGGATGTGTCTAATACTGTCACGCCCTGAAGCTCCCCTCTTTGCTTTAAAATTCATAAAATAAATCTCCCGAAGAAATTGTTTAAATTAACCTAGAGTTGAATCCTTAATTAATAAATGCAAATAATAATCGGAATCGGCATGTGGAATTTTTCTTACATTCTACATGTCAAAATATGCTAACAAGATTTTTAGTGGAATTTTCAGAGCCTTAGAAATAATTTTAACCAATTAAAAAGGAGCATGTGCAATATTTAAATCCCTGAAAAATCCTTTTTTTTCCTTTTCTCTTCTTTCTCTTCCTTTTCCTCCCTTTTTTCCTCTTGTTGGGCCGTCGGCCCACTTCCTCCCGCGCCCTTCCTCCTTGCTGGGCCGGCCCACTGCGGACACGGTTGGGGTCAAAGTAGTAGACCTTGAACTGGAGCTGCAGGAACACGGCGCGGACGAGGTCGCCCAGCGCCGGGTCAGACATGAGGAAGTGGAAGAAGACGCTCTTGGAGCACGTGGCATGCTGCACGACGGGGCAAGGCGCGACGGCGGGAGATGAGGAGGCCCGGAGGCCGGCGATGCGATGGGGGCGACGAGGCGGCGCGTCCGGCCGCCGATAGGGGAGAAGCGCAGTGGCGCCGCTCGACTGCGCTCGGCCTGCCGCGTCTGCGCCGGCTTGCTGGCCTTTCTCCCCGTGCACCTGAGCTCCGGGCCGGCCACGGTGAAGGTCGCGACCACCGTCGTCTCGCCGCATTGCTCGGCGCGAGTGAAGAGGAGCCAGAGAGAGACAGAAGAAAAAAAGAGAGAGAAGGGGAAACGGAGAGGAAGATGACGTGTGATACTAATATGTGGGACCCATGTGGGGCCCATGCTGACTCAGCGCCACGTAGACCAAAACCAGTATCAAAACAACCGAAGGATCTCGGGTGATCGGTTTTGCAGAGTTAAGGGACCCCGCATATCTGGTATTGCGGTTCGAGGACGTTTTTTAATCTCGCTGACAAGTTGAGGGACCTTCGGTGCACTTTTTCCGATTATTTTTCCTTGACAAAACACGTTAGGATTTTGTTTGTGATGGACTTTGTGTTTAGGGGAGGAGAAAACGTTGGGCTTTTTTCGCCAACAAAATTGGTGAAGTGCGCCACGCACGTGCAGCGCGCAGGAGTTATTGGCGCAGCGCGCCACCAGCGGTGGATGAGAAACATTTTTTGATCGTATGGTTAGAAAAAACGGCTGAAACATGTCATCCGTGTTTTAATCGGTTTTAATTTTATGTTTCGGTTTTAATCTCTATCTCTAATATAAAAAAGAACGAGAGATCACCATCCTCTGTATAGAAAAAAAGTCCGACTCAAAAAGATTAAAAAAAAGAGAGAAAAAAAATGTCCGACTCAAAAAGTGATAAAAAAGGCTTGTGGTCAGTAAAAAAACACCTCATCATAAAAAACGTCGACTCCGGTAAAAAAAAAAGATCCGTTTGGGTTTTTTTTTGACACCGGTATATATATACGGAACTTCACCGGCTTCGTCCTCCTCGTCGCTCGTCGTCCTGGTTGTCCGCTTCCGAATCGACCACGGCAGCCTTGGAGGCCCTGCGGGTCTTTGCCCCAAACGCGGTGATCGAGGCGGGAGTGCGATCGCTGGTACGTCGGCTTCGGCCGAAAGGGTAGTGAGGGACTGAATTAAATTTTAAAATATACTGTTAATTCTAATATTTTTTTAGAAAAATTCAGGATATAAAAGTTTTTGCAGAAATATACCGTCGATCTCGCCCAACCACTGCACGAAAATGATGTGTACATAGCGTCGTGGACAGTGTCGCGCGACACCGGCGCGACATCGGGCGGTCTCACGGAAAGGGATAGCGACACCGCCGATTGGCTGAACGGTCTCGCTAATCAGGATGGTTAATTAGTGATTAATTCTCATGATTAGTGATTAATTAATTATTATTAATTCACTAATTATTATTAGTTAATAATTAATTAAGTATTAATCACTAATGAAAGTGGAGACGCTGGACAGTATCGCTGTTTCCATGTGCGAGACTGCGCGCTCTCACTCTTTTCCTCCGCGAGACCGCGCGCTCTCGCTCTTTCGTTCCGCGAGACCGTGCGGTCTCGCACTTTCGCTACGCAATACCGCTCACGATATCACGCCACCTTATTCTCGCGCAATTGTTATACGATAGCGATGGTATATTTCTGCAAAAAATTTTGCATCCCGAATATTTTTGAAAAAAAAAATCAAATAAACAGTATATTTTTAAATTTAATTCCTCACTCCGTAGAGGCCTTCGCCGCCCCGACTACCAATCCCCTCCTCTCACCCCTAAGGGTGTGTTTGAGAAGAAGGGGATTGAGGAGATTGGAAAGATACGCGAAACGAGGTAAGCCATTAGCATATGATTAATTAAGTATTAACTATTTTAAACTTTAAAAATAGATTGATATGATTTTTTAAAGCAACTTTCTTATAGAATTTTTTTTGCAAAAAACACACCGTTTAGTACTTCGGGAAGCGTGCGCGCGGAATACGATGTCCCTTTCTCACCCAATCCCCCAGAACGAATGCACCCTAAGTCTGGGGGAGTGGAAAGCGTCCTGCCGCCGAGACCTCCGCCTCTGACAACAACTCATTGTCGGCTCCTCGTTTCGTCCCAACAGATTTCGAAACCCGCTTGGAGCTCATCCCTTTCGTCGGTGGGGTGAGCCAACTCGTTTCGCCGGCCGGTGGGCCTAGCCTGTTCACCGAGCTGAATGAGTAATGACATCTTTTGACGTGACGCAGTTGTCTTTCGACAACATGTATATATTCAATATATATAGTTTTTTTTATCTTTTTTATACGTGTATATTTTTTATGTATAAAAATATGTATATATACAAATTTTGCATATGTACATATACAACATATACAAAGTTTGTAAACTTATACTTCATCCGTTTCATAATGTAAGACATTTTAGCATTTCCCACATTCATATTGATGTTAATAGATTCACATCAATATGAATGTGGGAAATGATAGAATAACTTACATTGTGAAACGAGGGAGTATATTAAAAAAAACGTACACATATATTTAAAAAATGAAAGGAAAAAGAAAAAAAGTGGTGCACATGGAGCTAGCCACGCCCCCCCCCCCTCTCCATGCGCGCCACGTGGCTGCGCCATGCGGGGAGGGAGCGCACGATGGGTCGCTAACTAGCCATCCCCGCTAAGATGGGCCTTTGTGTACCTGGGTTGTCCGGGTTCCAACATCAATAAATAGTTCCATAGCATAGGCATGAAAAATTTATTTTACTTCCTCAAACTATTTGTTTTGTTCACTTACCCCTTAAATTATTTTTTACTCATTTTACCTCTAAAACTATTAAAGTGTTCCACTTTACTGATTAACAGCATTTTTCTTCTTTTATTTATCTTTATATGAGTCATATTTTAAGCTAAAATTTTGTAAAGCCATAGATAACACCATTATCAAAGTTCTAACGTATTTTGAAAAATTTCATGACTATATGTTTAAAATTTAAAACCTCGATGTTCAAGCTTAGTGCTTCGAATATATGCATACAATGATAAAAACATTCTGAAAAATTATGGGAGGTAGGTTATGATGTATCTATTAATTCTACCAAATTTAATTCCAAATTATGACTTGTATAGACAGAAACAAATAATGGGAGTAAGATGATCCGTTTTCAAGTGAAGCAATGAAATAGTTTGGGGGTGTATGATAGACTTTATTTCTCTATATGCACTGTTACGTGCGTATGGGCCGTCCGCGTTCGAACTGTCAGTCCAAGCCCAGTCGGCCGGCTGGCCAGTCTAGGTTTGAACGACTCGTCTGCACCCCTAAATTCCAATTCCAATGGCTGCTTGACCGAGCCGCCGCCGCCGTCCCCATTTCCCACTCGCAACTCGCAAAACTCGAGTCTCCTCTCCACCACCGTTGGCGATCTTGCTGGCGCGGTCTCGAGCTGTCGTTGCCGCTGATGGACAAGGCAAGAGGCGGGGAAGGAGGCGACAAGGGTGGCCGCGGCGGGGGAAGAGGCGACAAGGGTGGCCAAGGCGGGAGCAGAGGCTACAAGGGTGGCCAAGGCGGCGTCGGCACCAGCAAGGAAGTGGTGGGGAAGATTACTGAGGAAACAAGTGTTACCGGTGGGAAACCAAAGCAGGCCACGGGATGGAAGGTACCAATGCCTTCTTGTTGTTGATTTTTTTTTTTTTGGGGCGTGGCACTTGTTGAGTTGTTGATTTATCATTGCCGAAAATATATTTTACTCATTTAGTCTGAACAACATTGAGGCTGTTCCCTCTATTGGTTCGATTAATTTTAGTATGCTAGAATTTGAGTCATTTGGTGTGTAGAGAGCATCGAGGCCGTTCAATCTTAGTTGAATTCCTTGTTAGTATGCTAGTATATTGATTCATTTGGTCTGTAGAACATGGAAACCGTTGCTATCTTAGTTAGATTTCATGTCAGTATGCTAGAATCTGTCATTTGCTCTGTGGAACATTGAATCCATTGCCTATCGTAGTTGAATTTTGTGTTTTGCTGTTTAGGTTTCATCTAAATGCTTGAAATTTAATAATGTCACAGCGCACGGAAAGAGATGTTCTTAAGCTACTGAAGGATCCTTCTGTGCTTACACAACCTTGGTCTGGCGTAGCAGTCTCTAATTACAACTTCAAGTATGATGGCCTAGATGACAAATGGTACAGTGGGAGAATCTTTCTCAACACCAAGGTTGAGGCTGGTGACTCTTTAACACAAACGAATGGCAGAGAAGCACGGTTTTGGACATTTGTGGAAGAAGACAATGGTGTCAGTCCATGTGAAGACTCAATACCTTTACTCTGGAATATCAAACACCCAGCAATACTGAAGCCCATCTGTCTGACATACAACCCTGAAATCTAAAGGATTGTATATGGGATTGCCACATTCAACATGGACTTCGATTCATGGATTCAGAACCACCCTGTAGTTAATGCGGATTACATACCCCCTCATTGGAATGAAACTATCTGGTATGCTTTTGTCCTGAACTCTTGGTCTGTTCAATAAATATTTCCTGTTCACTTATCACTTCACTAAAGATGCATGGTTTGTCAATGGAAAACTTATCTGTTGCATTTTACATTTTAGTTATGTTCTTTCTGCCATTCGGGAGGTTGTCAAGAAGAAATGCAAAATAGTGGATTTGAACAAGACTTCAAAGTTTCGTGATGCTGGACAACAAGGTAAAGATACTCCCATCTCACATTCAGAAGGGAGGAGGTGATGATGATGAAAGCGACATGCTTGTTACGTTCTCTTTTCTGCTTGAGAACTATCTATATCAGAATTGGAAGGATGCCGATTTGCTTGCATTCATTAACCTCATGCGCAACCCAGGAACAAGGTAAATGGTAAACATACGTTGCTGACTCATTTTCCCCTTAATCACAGTTGAATTTTGGATAGGCGGGTCCAATCCAATTGCTTCCTTACATTGCAGAGTGGAACATGTACTGATTCAATTGTTTCTTTGCATTGTAGAGTGAAAGACCTAGTCACTCATCCACTGTTGCTGCCCCCAGATCAGCGTGAGCTATTATATAGAACAACATGGACTCGTATGTCAAATTCTTTACAGAACACTATAAGCTATCCAACTACAACATACTGGGCAACTACAACTAACTGGCACAGTTTCGTTCCATCAGGTGACACAGCACTGCAAGGCATCTTGCGGTTTCCAAATGGTCCCCACGGAGTGATAACATACCCACTTGGCTTTGTGGGAGTTCACAAATTCTGCCATGATACCTCATCTCATTACTTGAAAAGTTTCAGAGAAAATTATGTATGTATCTTACCCTTGATGTTTTGGATTAACTAGTTGGACACTTATAGTCTAATATTTTCTTCTTTTCCTATTATTTTTAGGTTCCAGGTCAAGTCCAGCTACCAGTAGATCTGTTATTGAAGAGAACCTTTCCTGGACTGATTTCAGAAATATACCTTTTGACCCTCGATCCAGACTGGGGGTATGTTATTTTCCATTCCTTTCTGGCATTGCATTCACTATCATTATAATAGTTAGATGGCAGGATTACACTCATAGCTTTATGGTATTGTTTTTGTAGTGATATTTAGGACCAGGGATCGCACAACTGGGAGCACAAGGAGACCGAACCAACATCTTTTTGTCTACAATGTCAAGAACATCTCATCCTCTGCTTGTTATTTTTGTCCTGGTTAACTAACAGTTCATTCATTTTTTGATATGGCAGTTCATTGACCAAGACGAACTGCATGAACTTTGCTGCACATCAATACACAGTGATATTCTCACTGATCACTGGATTGGTGGAGCATTAGTATGCACTAGGATGCCATTTGAACGTCTTATCACTGATATGTTTGACGCACAGCTTGTTTCTGGCTACTTTATCAGCTGTAAGCCTGTAACAGCTGCTGCTTGATGTAATAGTAGTAAGGCATGTTATGCTAGACAGCAGCTAAGATTTTTTAATGCATATTAAGTGCACTTTTGCTATTTATCAATTGCCTGATTTCTCTCTAAATGATGGTTTTTCTATTTCATGGGATTTGGGTTTTTGATTGGTTGGCAAGCTCGGATTTTCAGTGGTTTTGGGGGTGGTGGGTGGTGAATGTTTTGTGCTTTTTTATTTGGCTGCAATTTTTTGGGAGTAAACTGTGGATGCAACAGCAAGAAGATCAGCAGTCGTTTGCTTGCAAATATTTGTCTGCAGTTTTGTGATTTGTCTGTTTGGCTGCAATTTTGGATTAAACTGTGGATGCAGTAGCAGCAGTAGGATCAGCAGCGGCTGACTGGCAGGTTGATGGAGCTTGAGGACTCAGACGCCGACTAATAGAGGAGCTCCTATAGCTGCCTGATTCCCTATCAGCTTCCTCTTTCGATTTTCTGTCTTCACCGCAGCAGGTTGGATTCATTTTTTCCTGGCCATGAAGGCTTCGCTGCTGTCGGTGCCATCTCAGCACCTGCTTATTGGAGGATTAACGTATTTTGATTTGGTGCAAAGCATGGCCTGATATTCCTGCTGATATTCCTGATCTGGATTGGGCATTTGGACTTGGGTTTTGTCATTTGCATTGCTTTGCTTGACATATGGAAGTTGAGCATGCACAAGCAGCGTTTGGTACAATTTTTTCTATCATACAAGGTAACCTTTTTTCGGTAGCATGCTGTATAGTTTTATTTAATGAAATGTGCTAGTGTGGATTCGGTGTTGTCTTCTTCTTTTTTCATCGAATACCCGTGAAGAACAAACTCCTTGAATCCTCTGCTCAATTGGACCAGTGATGCTCAATTTCATATGTTTGAAATGTTCTGTTAAGATTTTATACAGTTCTTGATCAATTGGTCAGGTCGTATCAAATTCTTCTTCGGTGGTAAACTAAACCATGTATTGCATACTAAAACTTATTTTGTTTTCGTGATAAAATTGGCGAGTGGTTGCCATGCGGAACCAGATCCTCTGACGTGGACGTCCAACGGCTCTCGTCCGTCCATTCGGCATCGGACGGAGTAGAGTGAGCACAGCGGATAGGCTCGGCCCATATGGTAGAAAAATCAGCCCACGCGATCCACAACCATCGACGCCACAGCCGCCGCCGGCTAGGAAGCAAATGGGGGAGGGGAGACCTCTGCACCGTCGGCGTCGCCGCCACCGCCACAGCCTGCGTCTCCCGCGCGAGGGCCCCTTCGTTGCCACCATCCTCTTCTCGGCCAGCAAAATCGGGATGGCTCCTGATTTCCCGTGGTCTTCGGCCGGCCGCTCACTGCCGCTCGTCGTCTCCTCCGGCGCATCCGCGGGTGGAGTGGATCCTGGAAGAAGCCCCTCCCCTCGTCGCTGCCCTCCTCCCCATCTCTCGCCCCTGCGTTCTCTCTCCCTTAGCATGTTGCTGGCTCGCTGCCGGCAGTGTACTCCTTCAAATCATCCCTGCATAAAAGTTCAAGGGGACTCCTGTTAATTCGTTAGTAGCAGCAGCAGCAGGTTATATACACTTAGCAGTTGTTCGAGGTTGCCGACTGATTCCTAGTTTCAATTTTCTTGAGGATGAAAGTAATATCATTTTCTTGAGGATGAAAGTAATATCATCACCAGAACCTACTACAAGGGCTTGCAATGGCAGCATCTTGAAAATCCTAGATCGAGATCTAAAATTGATATGAATGGATATTGTAAATTGATGTGAATTGGGATTGTAAGTTTGTAACTCAACACTGAATGTGATGACTGAATGCCTTTGCCAATTGAGATTGATTGTTGTGTCTATTTGAGAATGTGAAGATTGTAGTTGCATCAATTTTTCGTTTTCAATTCAGTACGTTTAAAGGAATTGAAGTGAAACTTCAGTCTAGCAAAAGAATGTCACTTGTGTTGATGCTGCTTCGACAGTAAACACTGAACATTACAATGTGCTGTTCTTGCTGCATTGAGCATTTGATTGTTGAACATTTATAGATTTTGTCCCATACCCTAATGTTTGCTTGCAAAATGGCAAAAACAAAGGCATATTCGCATATACATCATTAATTTAGTGCTGCAATTTGAGAGCGGAACTGACATGAATACAGACTTGGATCAAATCTGTGTTGAAATTGCAACACTTATGATGCTCTTAACAATAAATCTCACAACAATGCATTGTTGCTTTGGACAAGTTGCTTCCTTTTTGCTGCATCTTCCATGACAGGTTGACCTCCAATCAGGAGTCATGGTTTCGTCAACGCGGACGGTCCGCGACCTCCATGGCGGACGCAGCGGAGGCTCCCGTTCGAGGGAGGACATGGAGGCGGGGGGCGGGGATGGGAAAAAGAAGGGCGGCAACAAAGGGGACCTCGCTGGGAGGCGCAGCCGCGCAGGCTGTGGTGGTGACGCCGACGGCGACGACTTGCTTCCTAGCAGCGCCGGCGGCCGTGGCTCGGAGGTGGCGACTTGCGTCGATGGTTGTGAATCGCGTGGGTCGATTTTTCTACCATATGGGCCGAGCCTATTCGCTATGCTCGCCTCGACTCCGTCCGATGCCGCATGGACGGACGAGAGCCATCGGACGTCCCTCCGACGTAGCGAGCGCTACGTAGAGGATCTGGTTCCGTTGCGATACATGTGCACTAGGCAAATGTGCAACCTGCATGTTGCGTGTTGAGATCATACTAGTACAGAAAACCCGGTGACAATTTTGGTGATTTGAGTGCATCGTTGGTTCCTACTCTGTGTAATGAATGGGCAATTCCATTAGGATTCAGCACTGTCACCCTACTTGCATCTTTTCCACCAGAAGTTTTTGAAATTATGTCAAATGGTCTAGCTGCATTTCTCCGTTTCATTTCTGCTGGACTAGGTGACACATCATGAGTTCATGAATCATGATCTTGCTTAGTACTCCATTATAGATACAAATACTAGTTCATGAATTATTGAATTGTTTGATGCGCTTTGTTGAACAGTCAACTGTTTAAAGGCTCATAAAGTAAACATTATTAGTAGTAAAATATTGCCGATTTGTAATTTTGTACTCCCTCCGTCCCTAAATATAAGTGATTTTTGTATGACGAATCTGGATAGAAGTATATCTTCATTATACTAGGATGTGTTACATCCCACTAAAATCCCTTATATATTTAGGGACGGAGGGAGTATACATTATTTTGTTTCTCATCTGTTGAAGAAATGTGAATAAGCTTTAGGCTTCAGCGATATTCGGTTTTGTATCTTTGGTAGCTGAGATTTTGAATTCTGATCTCTCTGCTTGTAACCTTTGTATCATTCATGTTGAACTTATTGGTATGCCATGAACTTCTTGCAACATTGTACATGCTTGTATACATCCTTGCAACATACATGCGCGTGGGATTGGATAAATAGCGCCCTGGTTAATAATCTGAACATGTATATGCTACTCCTATATGTTTTCTACAGTAGGTGATCACTCAAATTTTCTTTTAAAAAATACAGTGTGGCGGTGGAACATTTCGATGATAATTTATCCTATATACTAACTATACACTTGTTGGAACAAAATCCAACAAGCTCCAACAAGCATGGTATGGGCACCCTCCCTTTGGAGGGAGCCCAAGCTTAGGTATGTGGGGAGAGAGCATGGCATTAGGGTGATTCTAGAATGGATGGAATGGGAGAGAGATCACTCTGCCTTGTCTTAGGAGGGCCCCTTTTATTTATAGGCAACGAGAAATTACATCATTACCCATGGCTTGCTATAGACGAGCGACATTCTCTCGGGAAATAATCCAAGAAATGCCATTGTCCATTGACAAGCGTCCAAAGCCAAGAAATGCTATCGACAAAGTATGAGTTCCAAGAAATGCCATCGTACAAACGACTTTGTCCCAAAAATGTTGGAATGGACGAAACCCTAACGGCGATGGTATTTTTGGGACGAAGTCGTTTGTACGATGATATTTCTTAAAACTCACACTTGTCGATATCATTTCTTGAATTTGGACGCTTGTCAATGGCATTTCTTGAATTATCTCTTCTCTTGGGGGCATTTTAGTCCTTTATTACATTACTCTACACAACACCCTGAGCAAGGGGATATTCTCCAACAGTACACCCTAAGTATGGGGTTATTCCCCAATACAATTGATCCCCATAAGGGCTTGTTTGGTTAGGCCATTCCCGGCCGGGATCAGGGCCCAATCCCCGTGGGTCACCCCGGGGAGGAAAAAATTCCGATCCTTGCGAAATTGTGCGTTCGGTTAAGCCCTGGCGTGGATTTTAGCCCGGCCCACTACGGGGTTTCTATACTCTCTAGGCCCGGGAATAAATCAACTCCTCCAGCGGCGTGGAATTTTTCCTCGAGAGGAGGCGGCGGCGCAACGAAGACGCGACGGCGGGGGCGGCGCGCGGCGCGCGGCGCGATCCGGAGGCGACGGCGACGGCACGGCGCTCACCTCCGGCCGCCATCTTCTCTCCGGTGAGCAGCCTTTCCCCCTCTCCCCTCCTCTTCCAAAGCTAGGGTTAGGGTTTTCTTCTCTTCTCCGGCGATCACACGCTGCCTTTTCTTGCCCCGCCCCGCCGCCCTTCCCGTGCGGCGCCATCCGTCGTCCCATCTCCTCTCCGGCGAGGGCGTGCTGTTCGGCTCTTCTCCTCCGGCTCCTCCGCCGCGCCGGCGTTCCAGGCGATGCGCGTCGTCCCCGGCCACCACCACCACTTCCCTTGTGCTCGACGCGCTCGCCATGCTCACCAAGACCAGAGCCATCGCCGCCGCCACTTCACAGTTCACCGGAGAAAGCCGCTACTAGCTACCTAGTTCTCTGCATAGATTTGTTTCTTGGCTCATACAGGGGATATGTGCATGCTGAAGTCCGGTCAAATGACCAAATGCTTCTTCCCTTTTCTTGCATTGATCCAAGTGTGACTGCACTTTTGTTCACAAGAAATCCAAGCGTGCCTGATCTAAGTTCCTGTTTTTTTCAGTCTCTTTTTGTTTAGTTTGGATGATAATAGCTATGTTGTACTTGTGAGTTTTTTCAGTCTCTTTTTGTTTAGTTTGGATGATAATAGCTATGTTGTACTTGTGAGCTTGTATGGATCGTCATACCTAGCCTTCTCGATAGAAAATCTCTGGTGATGAACGAGCCTCTCAATGGATTTTTGCTCACCAGAACGACTAGGAAGCTCTGCATATTCTGAGGCAGAAGCTAGAATCTCCAGGAGGCCTTTCAACTTGGTCTTCAGAGTTAGCATAGAACTGAATCACTCAATAGTCGTGTAGGTGACGTTGTAATACGAGGCAATGAGACCAAGGTTGAGGGTCTTCAGGTAAAAATTTTCCTCTATAGCCAAACAATTTGTTGATTCCAAGCCTTCCAGGTCGTTCAGCACTGTCTCAACCAGCTCAGAAAGATGTTCTGATACATGCCTATGGATCATTTTGCATCTTGCAGAGCTTTTGTTTACAACTCTCTGAACATTTTTAGTCATGTTCTGGCAAATACATGGATCAGAGATTATTTATTAATTACCCAGTGCTGTTTTTAATTTTTAGAAAATCACGTGTGTGTGTGTGTGTGTGTGTGTTTTGCAGAATTGCCTTGGTGCAATTGATGAATATTTTAGGCTTGCTGTTGACATGGACTAGTTATTTTGGTTAATTTAGCTGTGCAGCTTATTGTATCAAAATGATTATTGTTGTTTATTAATTGCACAGTAGGACATACTAGCTAGTAGACTTTTGCATTACTAGGAGTATTTGATTTGTATGAGTATCACTTTCTTTGGGTTACTGCTTGTATTCTCCGGCATATTAGAGTTCTTGTGATGGTTGCAGTTCAGCATCATTTTGCCCGGTTCAATAGTTGGTTGGTTTCAGGAAATTTGAGACAATTGCTCACTGCACTGAAGCATTGCGTAAGTATTTGCAGTTTACAACTGAAAATTAAAGGAAACTTCTTTCTTCTCTACAGGCTTTGGGAGGAAGGAAGTCTGAGAGGATGCTGGTTCAAATACTGAGTGGCTGAGCAAACATGTACATGATGCTGGTTTTGTAAAGGAGCAATAAATGTGGTTCTCTGAACATTGTATATTGCTGATGTAACCATTTGGCATAGGAGAGTACTGGTGTGGCAGCCCATGTTTATTTTTTATAGCTTGAAAGGTCACATAAATGCAAATTCTAAGTAGAAATGTCAAGTGAATCATGCCATATTTCACTTTTTTTTTAGGCTTCATCAATGTGTATTTGATGCATCAGTAGCAAATGATGCATGACGTTCATGGGCCCATGCTTAATTATCTCCTGGCTAATTATCTCAAGTGAATCATGATATAGTTTCATCTTTTTCTTCTTTATTGTCAAATTTCACTCCTATGGCTGTTATCGATTGTTCGTATCGATCAAATAGCAAATGAATTTTGATAGCTAAATACTAGCCTCAACCGAACACAGGGTTTTGGATCAGGGGAAAGGAATTTACTTCCCCATAGGGTTTTAGTGACATGAGAGGGATTCACTCAATCCCTCCCTGGATAGATTCCCCTTGGGGATTATTTTCCAAGCAACCGATCAAGGCCTAAGTGGGGTATGGGGTTTGTCCTAGGTATGGGGTTTTAGTGCTCGTCAGACTCAGACGTCATGTTCAAACTGCAGCTAGCTATCTGTACTAGTACTACTACAACTAGTACATTTAGTTCGACAGTTTCACCTGAAAACAGTACTGCACTGGTGATGGTATAATCAAAAGCAGCATATGTCCATTTCAAAGGAAAATAGAAAACACAAATAGGCACATCGGCTTGATCAAAAGAGTACAATCAGAACAGCATTGAGGCATTGTTGAAGACCTGACATGTCACAATGGCAACAATTACATCCAACACCAATGCTTGCTCCAATGGATGTCTTCACCCTGAATAGAAGTGCTCTTCCTGCATGTCCATACCAGAAAGCCACCCATGCTTGCTTTCAAGAATGTCTTGAAAAGATCATAAGTATTACCCTACATATAAAAAAAATATCAGGACTTCCTCCCATTCCCCACAAAGTCAGCAACACATTGCATTTCCTTTATTTCGCTCCCCAGAAAATTTCTTCTCCAACTATAGTTGGTTCACGAGCAATCTAAAAAGCAAAAAACAAACACAATTTACATGAGTACAATTAAAATATTTCTAAAGTGCAAGGCAAATATGTGCTAGTCCCAGTAAAAATTGAAATAATATGTATTCAGACCCAAAGTTGAAATAATAGTTGGGCTTATCTTAATGATGCAGCTAATAGAGACATATGAAGTCCTAAGCTCTATCTCTACTTCTCATCATACACAGATGCATATGTCTCTGCAACAAGGTTGTCACTGCTACACTGCTACAAAGCAATAAGATGTTATATGCATCACATTTTAAGAGCAAAGCCAATGCTTAAAATGTGATGATCTTTTATTAGTTAGCACCGAGCATGTTCAGAATTCAGAAATCTGAGAATCTGAGAACTTGTATGCTCTCTATGCTTTTTTATACAAATCTATATCTATATCTATATCTATAACTGGGATCGATCTGATCTGATCTGGTTGACCTTATCTCCACTCGGTTTAGAAAAAACCGATCGGTCTTTTTGTTTCCGTCGTCTGTGCGAACAAGATCGGGAGAAAAAAACCAGGCGAAAAAATTTGGCCGAAAAAAACCGGGCGAAAGAAAAGGGAAAAAAACGAATCTGATTCCGGCGATGTGGTAAAAAAAGGGCGAAAAAAAATAAAACAAGAATCTATCCGATTAAAAAAAGGAATTATATGTGATGTGGTAAAAAAATCGAATACTATTTTATGTGACACGACAAAGAAAAAATGCGACGCGGTAAAAAAAGCAAATCGAATCCCTATCCCATCTACATCTTAGTATATTTAACATGAAGCACACCATTCTTTATAAATTTTCATGCCATTTTATAGCAGCAGTACATTAAATGAATTTACATTAGTACATGAGACATGTGAAAATAGCAGAAATACAATAATAAAGAAATTTTGGTCTGTATTCTTACTTTTTTTACATGTTGTAACATCTCTACTTCTAAATATACATGTTATTGATTGGCCAAAAAAACCGGGCGAAAGAAAAGGGGGAAAAAACAAATCTGATTCCGTCGACGTGGTAAAAAAAGAGCGAAAAAAATAAAAAAAAGAATCTGTCCGATTGAAAAAAAAGAATTATATGTGACGTGGTAAAAAAAATCGAATTCTATTATATGTGACACAGCAAAAAAATGTGACGCGGAAAAAAACAAATCGAATCCCTATCCCTATCTACATCTTATCTTAACTAATTAAAATATTAGTATTTTTCCGTTCGTCACGAGACGGACGAAGGCTGCCTTCGCGCGGGAGGAAGGCGAGAGGGGCGGAGGGAGCCGTCGCTGGATCCGTCTGCCGTCGCCGGATTCGCCCGCGGCTTCCGCCGGCGGATCTGCCATGGGAGGGAGGCTAGAGGGGCCGCCGGATCCGCCCTCGGCCATCGCTACTGCGGCCCTCGGCCGTTGCCACCGCCGCCGGAGGGAGAAGAGACGGGAGGGAGAGAGGGAGGTGGAACGTTGCCGCCGGTGGGGAGGGAGAGGGGCAGCGGCGGAGGAGGATAGGCGCAGTCGGTGGGGAGGGAGAGGTGGAGCGGCGGAAGGGGAAAGGCGCCAACGACGCAGTAGTTTGAGAGAGAGAGGTGGGGAAATGATTTAGGGTTAGGGTTAGGGCTGCCGACTTTTTATATATATGTCCGGATCAATCGTGACAATCGATCAGATCGGACGACTGCGTATTCTCCTGTATCAGGCTGCCGTTCCCGGGCCGCCACACAATTGGGCCACATGTACGCTCCGCACGAATAAGTTCAGTTTTGGTCCCTCAAGTTGTCCCCGAAACTTACTAAGGCTCTAATCAGTTTATTTTTCAAAGCAACTGATTTAATTTTTTTTAAAATTTACATAAAATTGTTTGGCACTATTTTAAGCCATTTAAAATTGCTACGAAATTATGATCAATTATTTAATCACTCAGTAGATTGTTTCATGTCAAAATAATTATTATTTTCTTAAATATTAAATTATTTCTAAAATTCGAACATATTCCACTAGAAAGTGCGTGTTTCTTTTCCATTGCAGATGCCTTTTACCTTTTACCTTTTGTAAAACTAAAAAAAAAACTGAAAACATATAATAATAAAGTGCAATGAAACGTTTAACCCCTCTTACTAGATCTCGTTGTAAAGCATGGGCATATTTGCTAGTTTAACCATATGTTAAAAGGAAAAGAAATTTTGGTCTACATTACACCACTTCTTTTATTTTTATATTTACATCACAAAATATAGATAAACAACTTAAAGCAAAGGGAATAAATAGATCTAGTACCTCTTGGAGAGGGTACAAGGTCCCAGGAAGGAGGAGGTTGGTCTTCTCCAACTCTAATGGGTGCACGTGCAATCTACAAAACAAGCACAATTTACACACATCACTGACAATTCAAATTCAGCATCCAAGATTATATATCTGGAACTAGAGCTAGAATTACATAAAACCTATAACTAGAGCTAGCATCAAAGTAGGAGCTGCTGTTTTCCAATCAAATAGAAGGATCTCATCATCAAATACAGTATAATATGGGTACAGAATTAATCACCCAATCAGTTCATTTAACACTAGACATATTAGTGCTTGAATAGCTACGATAAACATGTTTTGTACAAGTATCATGTTGAGGAAAACAAATCTGTTAGTCTAATGAGACTAAAAGCTACTATTGTTAGTTTAAAAGAAATCAGTTTAAGTATACATTACTGTATATACTACTGCATTTTGTTGCTGGTTTGTTTGTCAAACAATGACGACAGAATTAGTTTACAATTCAGAAATAGTTTTACATCCAATTAACTGTAAACAAGCTCACAAGTACAACATAGCTGTTATCATCCAAGCTAAATTAAAAGAGACTAAAAAAACAGGAACTTAGATCAGGCACGCTTGGATTTCTTGTGAACAAAAGTGCAGTCACACTCGGATCAATGCAAGAAAAGGGAAGAAGCAAATTTGGTCGTTTGACCGGACTTCAGCATGCAAATATCCCCTGTATGAGCCAAGAAACAAATCTTCCTCAGTTTCATTGTTTTCCACCTAGCGAGGAAGGATCCAACGAGGAACATCTTAAACTCTCCAAAAACACCAACCGATTTGACACCTATCCGGACACTGCTACCAACACTTGGACTCAAACACAATACTACAGCTAGATGTCTACAGATCAGATAGCCATGCACCATGCTGAAGAACTCTACGCGCACGAATCTTTACGAGAAGAACACACGGGATCGATCGAGCAGAGCACCCATCCCCACCCAACCAAGAACTCACCAGGTCAAGCAGGATACGAGGAGGACGACGAGTCACCGATACGGAGCTGAGCGCTCACACACCCACCAGGGCCAAGCCGAAGAAAGGGAGGGGAGGAGGGAAGCGCGGAGACCGCGCCGTGCTGTGCTCACGAGAGAGAAAGCCGCACGGCGAGAAGAGAGATGGCGGCGACGACGGGAAAGGGAGAAGAGAAGAAAACCCTAACCTAGCTTTGCAAGAGAAGGGGAAAGGCAGCGTGCTCACCGGAGAGAAGGTGGCGGCCGGAGGAGAGAGCCGTGCCATCGCCTCCGGGTCGTGCCGCGCGCCGCCCCCTCCGTGGCATCTTCGTTGCGCCGCGACTCCTCTCGAGGAAATTTTCCACGCCCCAGTATAGATGGCCAAAAGGCCTACCCGGCACGGCCAGGCATAGCCCACCAGCCATCGGGCCGGTACGGCCCGATCGGCACTTCGTGCCGCGCCTCCCGCCCAGGCACGCGGCTGGGCCGTGCCGAGCCGGCCCGTAGGATATATATATATATATATATATATATATATATATATATATATATATATATATATATATATAGGACACTCATATGGGGCACCATGGTGCCCGGGCACCATGGTTTCAAATGCACAAAATCACTCAAATTTTTCAAAATTTTCAAATTGTGAGTATATATATATATATATATATATATATATATATATATATATATATATATATATATGGGGCACCATGGTATCAAATGCACAAAATCACTCAAATTTTTCAAAATTTTCAAATTGTGAGTATATACCTAGCTATACCTATCAACAAAACAGCTCAAATTTAACTTTATTTCACAATCCATGATTACATACCTAACTAATTATATGTATGGATGCTATATACCTAGAATCAAAATCTAACAAAAACAAGTTCAAATTCAGTTCAAACTTGCTTTGAACTAGTTAGTAAAGGAGTTAATGTTAATATCTAAGTAATTGAAAAAGTTTCATACTCATTTGAATTGGGTATATACTCAATTTCAACAATGGTGCCCAGGCACCATGGAGCACCAAACAAATTTAATATATATATATATATATATATAGACACACTAACAAAATGCCCGTGCGTTGCAACGGGTGAAGACTATTTTAATCTTATTATTGTTATATGGTTTAGTTAAGATAAAATTCACTGTGTTAAATTTGCTTGGATATATATTTTGTTAGAAAATCATGAGCTGCAATTAGGAGTCCGATCGTCTCAAATTAGCATGCGAGTTTTTTAAAGAGATTTCTTATATGATTCCTTCTGTATTTTCAAAAGCGAACGAATTCAAAAAATGCCTCAAATATGGATTTGTATTTCCAAAAGCGAAAAAAATTTAAAAACCGACCCATACACGGATAACGTACCAAAGTACCATAAAAAACATTTTGAAAATCATGAACTGCAATTAGGAGTCCGATCGCCTCAAATTAGCATGCGAGTTTTTTAAAAGAGATTTTTTATACGACTCCTTTTGTATTTTCAAAAGCGAACGAATTTAAAAAACCAACCCATACAAGGATGATGTACCAAGGTATCGGCAAAAACAGCTTGAAAATCATGAGCTGCAATTAGAAATCAGATCGTCTCAAATTAGCATGCGAGTTATACGATTCCTTCAGTATTTTCAAAAGCGAACGAAATTAAAACCTAACTCAAATACGGATCTGTATTTCCAAAAGCGAACGAACTTAAAACCGACCTATACACGGACCGACCTATACACGGATGACGTACAAAGTACCGGTCCAAAAGCGAATGAATTTAAAACCGACCCATACACGAATGATGTACCAAAATACCGGCAAAAATATTTTTAATTTTTCGAGAAGTCTTTTTCGAGGGAGTCGGACTTTTTTTTTAAGGAGTCGAACGTTTTTTTGTAAGGTAGAAGTTCGTTTTCTTTTTTTTTTTGTCCCCTTTTTTTTCTCCATAGGGAGTCAGACTTTTTTAAGTCGAACGCCCTTTTATTTTTTTATTTTTTTTGCGATAGATATTTTTTCTCTTCTTTTTTTGTTTTTTTCTCTCCTTTTTATTTTCCACCGGGGGAGTCGGACTTTAAAGTTAAATTTAACTTTTAAAAAAGCGAATTTAAACGGTTATAATAATTCGATTCATACCTATCCATGGACTTTTTTTTCGCTTTTTTATTTAAACGGTATTTTTTCTCGGACTTTCTTCCTTTTAAGGATCCGATCTTTCTTTTCCAGGGGAATCGGACTCTTTTGTTTTTTTTTCGCTTTTTTTTATTTATTAAACGGACGAAGGAAAGTTTCTTTTCTTCCTTTTAAGGATCCGATCTTTTTTTCCAAGGGGAATCGGACTCTTTTGTTTTTTTTCGCTTTTTTTTATTTATTAAACGGACGAAGAAAACGTTTCTTATTTTTTAAGTAGTATAAGTATATAGTATATATATATACATATATATATATATATGCTACTTTTTGTGCTACTTAAAAAGTATGAGTTGTTTCCGTCGTCCGTGTGAAAAAAAAAATCAGGGGCGAAAAAAAAGTCGATCCGATTTTGTCGACGCGGTAACAAAACATAAAAAAATCGATCCGATTCAATCGGGTGGAAAAAAAAAGGATCTGTCGGATTTCAAAAAATATCGTCCGTAATAATAACCAAAAAGGACGAAAAAAATAAAACAAAAGGAGAAAAGTCCGCTTCAATCCATTTTTTTATTTTCCTAGGAATTTTTTCATCCGTATCAGTATGCGAGATTGCATCTCGCTCCGACCAGCTCGCACCCGTCATGTACGGGCAATACAGATTATTGAACAAGAGATCAAATCCGATCCGATCCAAGAATTACGCAAAGAAACAAGAGAATCACAAAATCACAAATTCAACGGCACTGAATCAAAATCATCCCAGAAAACAAAAAAAAACCGGCGCCACTACTCACATCAGAGGCAAGCACCCGCTGCCCCGAGGTCGTGGCGGCTTGGCGAGCGCCCCACCGTGCGCCGCAAGGAGGATGTTGTCGCCGAGGCACTAACGGAAGGGGTTGCCTCCACTGTGCCGGAGAAGACAATGATGTCGCTGAGGAAAGGGCGCCGCCGGCTGGGGGGAGGGCGTCGCCTGCAGAAGGAGGGCGCTGCTCGCCGCCTTGGGCCGTGGCTAAGGAGGAAGGGGGCAGAGAGGGAGGGGTGCCGCCGGTGGGGGGAGGGGGAGGGGGAGCGGCGGAGAGGGAGGGCGTCGCCGGCTGTGGAGATGCGCAGCGGTGGAGAGGACATACAGGCGAGCGATGAGAGAAGACCGAGAGTAGAGAGGAAGAGGAAAAATGACGCTTGGAAAAAAGAAGAGATAAGGGCGGGCGGAAGGATCGAGACGGGCGCCGCTCTCTAGCCTCAGTAGGGTCCACGCTTTCACGGGCGATTTTTTTTCCTTAAAAGAAACCAGGTACTCATAAGTTATGGATAATTATCCATAAAGATACTTCTAATACACCCCTAATTAAATGGTATGCGGAATTAATCCCATTGCTCCTTCTTCCACGGCGCATGCACGCATGCCAGAATCTTTAAGTCCGACTCAAAATCAAAAGCGAGAAAAACAACTACTGTCGTACTAGATAGATAAAAAAAAAAGTCTCGTCCGTAAAAAAAAATGTCCGACTCAAAAAAAAAAACCTCCCACGCCCGACTATGATAAAAAAGGGAAAAGAAATTCCGTCCGTAAAAAAAAAATCTGACTCCCGTAAAGAAAGAGAAATAGTCCGACTCCAGTAAAAAAAAATAAAAAACCGAGAAAAACATCGTTTATAAAAAATCCGGTTCAAGAAACCACCTAACTCAACACGAGTAAATAACATACCACCCGACACAACACGAGAAAAAAACATATTTTTATAAAAAAATGGTTTGAAAAAGTTCGACTCAATGCGAAATAAAAAACCACTCTGAAATAAAACCGTCCAAAAAAAATGTTGTTTATAAAAAAGCGAATCGGAAAAAACGTCTGAATCCACGCGAGAAAATCGAACTGAAAAAAATTATCCGACTCTTCCCGAGAAAAAACACCGTTTATTATAAAAAAAATACTGCTTCCGGGAGCTAGCATCCGTTTATTATAAAAATTTGTCGGTGTTTATCCGACCCAACGTGAGAAAATATCTAAGATTATAAAAAAAATCTGGTTCGCACTGTGCAATGAAAAAAAAATTGTCCAATTTTAGAGAAAAAAAACATTCCATGAGAAAGGTTCGTATCGTCCATCGTCTACCACATTGGTTTGGTTTTTCCACATTGGGTTGGTTTTTCCAAAGCGGTTATGTGAATGTTCTTACGTGCGGATGCTTAGGTTTGGGCTTGGTTTTATCAGAACAAGATCAAATTGATCTAAGGCTTGGGTCGGATAGGATCCTTGATTTTTTCCATCTCCTACCTAGCTTATGTTGCTCCTGTATTGGAGACTCTGTATGATTCTATATGCAATTATCAGACTACTTTGATAAGTATAGCTAATATTTTTGATAGCATATCATATAAAAAAATAATAAATAAATTTTTAATTGTTATTATGAGAATAGTCATGGTGACTCTATTTTGTCTAGACTTGACCGTGTGAGATAGTGTAGAATTTGATTGATCCTATTATTAGTTGCAAGAATGAGATTGAAAGATCATTGGGAGGTTGCCATCGTCGAGGTTAAAACATTACATTGAAAATGTTCCAATTTTCTTTATGATATGTCGTAGCCAACAAAGATCGATACAAACATTATACATGGAAAACGTATATTATTATTGGAATTTTTTCACCCATTGCAACGCACGAGCATTTTTGCGAGTGTGTATATATATATATATATATATATATATATATATATATATAGCAAAAATAAGTCTATTTTACGTCCCTATTCTTTCGACCGTGGCATATAATATGTCTATTTTTACTCCCTATTATTTATGTGTCGGGCCTGGCCTGCGGCCCATCGTGCCATGCTGGCCCGGCCGTCCGGCCGGGCCCATCATGCCGGTGGAGAGGCCCAGACACGGCCCGGTGGTCGGGCCGGGCCGGCACGAGCCCGACCCCTGACGGGTCGTGCCGTGCTTGGGCCGGGCCAAAACGCCGTGCCGTGGGCCGGGCCGTCGGGCCTCGGGCCTTTTAGCCATCTATACGCCTCAGGAGTAGATGATTTTTCCCGGGCCTAGAGAAGAGGGAAACCCCGTGGTGGGCCGGGCTAAAATCCACGGCAGGGCTTAAC